TTTTTTCGCTCGTTTTCACTGTTTTTTCAAATTTTCCGATATATCTGGAAGAAAAATTGACAAAAACCTGGAAAACTCTTGAAAAAACCGAAAAAAAAGTGAAAACGAGCGAAAAAATTTTAAAAATTTGAATTCGCGCGCTTTTACTCACCGGGCGGCCTAGAAAAAACCTCGTCCCTAAGGGCTTCCAGCGTATTTTTCGATGCGTTTTTCTCGATGAAGGAATTTTTTTGAATTTTTTCTTTATTTTTATGGGAATCTACATGCATTTCTGCACATTTTGATGCAATAAAATTTCACCGTACACCACCTTTAACCTTTTTTTTCTCAGACAAGCATAATAATAAAAATTGTGAAAATTAAAGGCGCAGTTTAAAGAAAATGCTCTCAGAGATTACGGTAGTGAATGGGTTTCGCAGCGATTTCCAAAAAATCTCGGATTTTTTGTCTGGGCACGCTGTTTTCCCGTTTTTCGGCGTTCTTCTCTGCTTTTTGAACCGAATTTGACTCCCAGACATTCCAGTAATGAGTAGATTCGATGTTGAAGCCATTATCGACTTTGCCAAATTTGAACGCTTGATCGAAGACGCTTTGAATTCGAAAGCCAAATTCCTGCCGAAATGCGTTTTGACCTCCAAACAGCGGCATTCGAAATATGCATTTCTGGTAAATCAGTGGTTTTTTCTGTTTTAATATGCGATATGATTTTCAGGTGCACTGGTCGAATTCCACTGTAGCAGAACGAACATGGGAAACGGAAGAGAGTATCGGAAGTTCACAACAGATGTTACTAGATTTCAAGAGAGCGAAGAAACTACCTCTAGAACACCAGAAAATTTATAAGAGCTATGCTTTGGATGTTTACCAGAGACTGGTAAAAGCCGCGAAACTATTCAAGCCAGTCGACGTTGAGAATGCTGCTGAAATTGTTTCTGTCGCAAGTGGAATCCAATCAAATCATCGTGTGGAACTCCGCTTTTCTAATTCGGCTATAGAAACGTCGTCTCAAGAAGATTTCGAAGTAGAAGCGCCACGTAGGGAACATATAGAAGTCGTAAACGAGGACATGTCAAATAATATCGCGCCTACCGAAGCTCCGATGAAACCAGGGGAAGCGAAACGAGGCGAGAAGCCAGCTATTGCTAGAGAGGATTCGAATATATCGTCGGTTACAGTGAATGCTGATCATTTGTGTGAAACACCACCTCCCACATTTAAAGTTAAAGTAAAGAATCTTTTACTCTAAAAATCAATTTCTATTTCAGCGACTCGATCCTTTTAACATCTTCTATAAGGGTAAATCGTTCACAATACCGCCTCTGTTTCGAACCGAATGGAACGGCAGTAATGAGGACCGAACACTTCTCAACGATACTGTCATCGAATTCTACTTGTGTCACTTTCTGTGGGATAAGCTATACGACGACAATACGTTGGTTTATATTGTGCTATCAACAATGTCGGTCTACTAGTAATTTTCAGACGAAGTCGCTTTCATGTGTTTAACACATTCTTTTACGATAAACTTCAAACACGTCTTCGTTATCATTTCAGAGATGTTCAACCCAGGCAGTCAGAGGTTTGTTAAGATAATTTATTAGGTAACCAAGCGATTTATTTTTTTTTTCTAGCTCGGAACCCACTACAATAACTTATTTCAAAGAGGGAAGCCAGGTACTCTGTTGCGAAAAGAAGTTCTCGTGATTCCCTGTCATATTAGAAAGCCGAAACATTGGTGAGTGAGAATTCCTTGAATAATCCATACAGGTTCTTGTTTAGGTTTCTTATCCTGGTTCACAATCCATCAGGAGCAGTTATACGTCGTAGAGCATCTAACGAAGTCGACGATAACAATAACAGAAAACAAAAGTCGCTATCCGCTCAGATAGCTGAGTATGCACAGTTCGAAGAAGGGAGCGAATGTCGCATAATTATTATGGACAGTCTTTGTCATAGCCGCAGATTCGGGTAATTATTCACAAAATCTCAAATAAAGGTTTACTCTAGCCCAGATCTCGCCAAAGCACATGAAGAAGCATTTGATTCGATCCGAGTTTGGCTACAAATGGCTGCTGCTGCAAATGGAGAGGAGCTTAGGGCGTGTCGTGTCAAGTATATTCGTGAAGTACTGATAATGTATGCCAAGTTATAAATTTTGTAGAAAAATAGTATGTCAAAATCTACCAAGACAAAAGAACGGTGTGGACTGCGGAATTTTTATGATGGCATTCGCCGAGTATTTCACATGGTTTAACACCGAATGGCTGGTTTGTTGATTATCAGTGATAGTTTCATGATTCAACGTTTTCAGAGGGCTCCAACAGATTCGCTTGTAAATATGAGAATGGATGACGATCTGAAACATCTGCTGGACAGTGTAGAACCACGCATGCGGCTGGAGGCGATTCTCCAGAAATTCACGACTTCGAAAAGGGAAAACTCAACTCTCCCACCATCCCAAAATATGTAAAATGTTGTGTTTCCCTTGTTTCCTCTTTTTTATGATACTTTTGCTTAGTTGATTTCCCGTATTTTTCTCACTCTAATCTATGTAACTGGTCTATTATAACTTTAGAGTAGTTCATAATCATTGCCTGTTAATACTTTATCAATGCTCCCCCCCCCCCCTGAGATCTCGTTTTTTTTGTTACTCTTACTGTAAAATGAAGCATCTGCCAGTTTGATTTTACCAGAGAGTACCTTTAAAAATAATTCGACATATCGGTGAAGTGCGCCGCAGAGTTGCGAAACTCTGCGCACGCCGTTGCACTACATGCTCCTCCCCTTTTTCAAACGGCTCTGCTTTCGGATTATTGAGGATTGGATCTAAAAAATTGTTTGGAATGATTTTTTTTGAAAATAATTTTTTAATAAACATCTCTTTCATATCTGTTTCGTTACATTTATGTTCTGTCCTAGAATAAATCAATTTTCAGGCCTGAACAATGCATTTATACAATTTAACGCTGCAAGGCCAAACGGCTATCAACCAGGCCATTCAGGGTAATTTTTCAGGACTTCCCAAATCACAAGTAAGTTGAAAAATTGGCGAAAAAATGTAAAGACTAATCCCAATGTTAGCAGGAAATTGTTGTGGGACGAGGATCGGCACTCGAGCTGCTACAACTTGACACAGTAACTGGAAAAATAAAGGTAAAAATTTTTATGTTGTTGAACGAATTAAAACTGAAAATTACGATACTTCTTAATTGAAAAAACATTTCTAATTTTCTGTATTTTAGGTCATGTGCCATCAAGACATATTCGGATCGTCCGTTCACTTCTCGCTTTCCGCCTCACAGCTGGAACTCGCGACTTTATTGCCGTTGGATCCGACTCGGGAAGAATTGTGATTCTACAATACAATCCTGAGAAAACATGCTTTGAGAGACTACATCAGGTTTTCTTTTCAAAATTTTCTAACTAAATTTCATCCAACTCTTTCAGGAAACGTTTGGGAAAACAGGATGCCGACGCATTGTTCCAGGTCACTACCTGGCTGGAGATCCACGTGGACGTGCTCTGATGATTGGCGCTGTAGAAAGACAGAAGCTTGTGTATATTATGAACAGAGATGCCGAAGCACATTTGACGATCTCTTCTCCATTAGAAGCTCATAAACAACATACTCTGTGCTATGCTATGGTGGGAATCGACGTTGGGTTTGAGAATCCAACGTTTGCTTGTCTGGAGTTCGACTATGAGGACGCTGACAATGATCCTACTGGAGAGGCTGCGAAACGAACTCAACAAACTCTCACGTTCTACGAATTGGATCTCGGTCTGAATCATGTCGTTCGCAAGTACGCAGAACCCCTCACAGATCCAGGAAACTTGCTTATCGCAGTTCCAGGTGGTAACGAAGGACCGTCCGGTGTCATTGTGTGCTGTGAGAACTATATTGTCTACAAGAATCTTGGTGATCAGCCAGACATCAGATGTCCGATTCCAAGAAGAAGAGTGAGTTATTTGAGTTATCGTAAAACCTCTAATAGAAGGGCCCCTGTAATGCCAAGCTTGAGCCAACTTTTCTTGGCTCTTATGAAAGATATCGGAGGTGTCAATTGATAAAATGTTTGGGATATTATAAGAAACCATTTATCAGTTGGCCCGAGATTAATTAGCTCAAATTTAAAAGTTAGGGGCCCTTCTATTATAGGTTTTACGGTATTGAAAATCTTCATTCAGAACGAGCTCGACGACGCTGATCGCACAATGCTCATCATCGCCACAGCCACTCACAAAACCAAGAATATGTTCTTCTTCTTGATACAAGCAGAAAACGGAGATATTTTCAAAGTGACTCTCGAAACTGACGAAGATTTGGTGACGGAAATGAAACTGAAGTACTTTGATACAGTACCTCCAGCGAACGCTCTGTGTATTTTGAAAGCTGGTTTCTTGTTCGTCGCTGCAGAGTTTGGAAATCAGTTAGTATCAATTCTTATCAAAAAATCAGTCAAAGCTTTATCTTTCCAGTGAGCTCTATCAAATTGCAAGTCTTGGAGAAGGAGGAGACGATGAATTCTCTTCAGCCATGGGTTTCGGAGAGAACGATGCCGCTTTCTTTGAGCCACATGAGCTAAGATCTCTGATTCCAATCGATTCCATGGACAGTTTGAGTCCACTCACAGATGCTGTGATTGGTGATATTGCTCGTGAAGATGCAGCTCAATTATTCACACTCGTTGGTCGTGGCGCTCGTTCTCATATGAAAGTTTTGCGAAATGGTCTCGAAATTTCAGAAATGGCGGTTTCAGACTTGCCAGGAAACCCGAATGCCGTATGGACAGTGAAAAAGAATATCGAAGGTTAGTGCAGTTAACTGTAATAGAAGGGTCCCTAAAAATTTTAACTTTGAGCCAATTTTTTTCGGTTCCTGTTGAAGATATATAAAAGTTGTCAACTGATAAATTGTTTATTATAATATCATGAACATTTTATCAGTTGACAAATTTTTGTAGATAATTGAGCTCAAACTTGACAGTGGTTCTATTATCCTTGTCTGAGAAAAAAAAGGTTGAGACGCAGAGAAAAAGTGTCTGTGTCTCCACCTTATGTGTGCTATTTAGGCTCTCCTCTTCGATATCGCTACCGTATTCAGACTGCAAAAAATACTCTCTAACCTTTTTTTTCTCAGACAAGCATAATATTACAGACTTTACGGTAGTTTCAGAACTTTGAAATCTTCGAATTCTAGAATCTCAGAGTTTCAAAATCAAAAGAAATAAATAAAACTTTTATTTCGAATATAAAAAAATGCAATGACTGAAAATATTTCTGAAACAATAAGAAGTCTTTCAGATCAATACGATTCATACATCGTTGTGTCTTTCGTCAACGCCACACTGACTCTTACCATTGGAGATACTGTCGAAGAAGCATCAGATTCCGGCTTCTTGCCAACTACCCCTACAATCGGGTGCTCTATGATTGGAGATGATTCTCTCGTACAAATCTACTCTGAAGGCATCCGTCATATCCGCGCAGATAAGCGTATCAACGAATGGAAAGCTCCACCACGTCGTCAAATCGTCAAGTGTGCTGTGAATCGACGACAAGTCGCTGTCGCGTTAAGTGGAGGAGAACTGGTCTACTTCGAATTGGATTTGAATGGAACTCTCAACGAATTCACTGAAAGAAAGCTCTTCAACGCTGACATTGCTTGCATGACATTCAGTGAGATTTCCGAAGGAGAACTGAATTCTCGTTTCCTGGCTCTCGGAACGGTTGATAACGCAGTCAGAATCATTTCCCTCGATCCGAATGACATGCTGATGCCATTGAGTACACAGAATCTTCCATGTCCTCCAGAATCCATTCTTCTTATTGATACGCCGAATGAAGATGGTAAAGGTGTAGCTTCGGTTCATCTTAATATTGGTTTACAGGTTTGTATATTTTTGCTAACGCCGGAAGAAATAAATTTCATAAAATATTTTTTTCAGAATGGTTGCCTTTTCCGTAACACTGTGGACAACGTCACCGGAGCCATCATGGACACTCGTACGCGGTATCTTGGAACTCGACCGTGAAGCTGTTCAAAGTTCAGGTTCAGGGAAGATCAGCTGTGAGTATTGCTTTTCAGTTTCTGTCAAAGTTTTAAGTTGTAACTAATTCAGATCCTCTGCACCTCTTCTCGCTCTTGGCTTCTCTATCATTTCCAACGTCGTTTCCATCTTACTCCATTGAGCTACGCCAATCTGGAATACGCTGCTAGCTTCTGCTCAAATCAGTGCGCTGAAGGAGTCGTCGCCATCTCAGCAAGCACTCTCAGAATCATTGCCGCTGAGAAACTTGGAGTCGCATTCAATGTACAATCTTTCGAACACAAAATGACACCACGTCGGATTGCTGTTCACCCAACGATGCCTTGTCTGGTTGTGATTGAAACCGATCATGCTGCATACACAGAAGTTACAAAAGGATTGAAGAGAAATCAGATGGCTCAGGTAATTTTTGAAGGAGAGGGTTGTTCCCAATCAATGAATTTTAGGACGTCGAAGAAATGGCATCAGATGAAACCGAGGCTGCACTGGCCAGAGAAATTGCTACAAACCTTCGCGAACGAAAATTGGATGAACGAGTATTCGGAGCACCGAGAGCTGGATACGGAAAATGGGCGTCAGCAATCAGTTTGGTATCAGCTACTACCGGAGAGAAACACTCGCACTTTGAATTGCCACAAAACGAAAACGCCAAGTGCTTAGCTCTTGTTCAATTCTCAAAGCATCCAGATGCAGTTATGGTTCTCGTGGGATGTGGAGTCAATGAAATTCTGAACTCAAGCGAAGTGGAACCATCTGATTCCAACTATCGACCGGTTAGAGGATGTGTATACACTTTCCATCTGTCTCCAAACGGTGATCGATTCGATTTTCTGCACAGAACCGAGACCCCATTGGTAGGTTTTATAGATATAATTTTTGGAAAATACCATAAAACCTGTAGTAGAAGGGTCCTCAAGTTTGAGCTCAATTATCTCACTTCCTATGCAAGATATCAAAAATGTGTCTTACTAAACCCCTATTTTCTCTTTTATTTAAATTCCAATTCTTCAGCCAGTCGGCGCGATTCACGATTTCCGAGGAATGGCTCTTGTCGGATTCGGAAAATTCCTGAGAATGTATGACATTGGACAGAAGAAGTTGTTGGCCAAGTGTGAAAATAAGGTGAGTTGTAATTTCTTTGGAATTCTTACCCCTCATATCTCTTTCTTTCCAGTAAAGGGATCTGAGAAAAATTGAAAAAAAATCTTGTGGTGGGGGGAGCATGTGCAAAAATAGCGATTTGATTAGTCGCGGCGGGGAAAAAGGGATGACACACAGATGAGGTCGAAGTCGACGTCGGGGATTCAGAAGGAAGTCTAAAAAAGAAGAAAAAAAGAATAAGAGAAGGAGGGCGAGGATTATCAGTTTTTAGTTCATCACTTCCGCGACCGACTAAAGGTCGTGTCATATAAGTTTTTATTGGGATTTAGCAAAGATCAAAAGTTAGAGAATATCACATTTTCTGAAACTAGAATACTAAATATAGGGCTTCATGAATTGAAATGTTTTGTGTTAAGACAAAAAAGGTATCTTAAAAATCCCCCAAAATCGAAAATCTTCCTGACTTTTCTCCTTGCTGTCGCTCTGGAACAAAAAAAAAACAAATCCCCACCCTCTCAAGTGCGTTGTATTAATATTTAGTCTCAAGTGTCTGTGAGCTTCTTCTTCCTCTTCCCTTCCCGAATCGTATTAGTTTCAGCTATTTAGAAAAAGACAGCTGAAAATTTCGCCCCGAATGGTAACCGAGGTCTCTTTTTCCTGGAATCTATGTACAAATATCAATCAAACTCCAAATTAATTTCTTCCACTCGAAGAAATTTCACTTCTTGGTCTCTGCTAGGGGCATGTGTGTAAATTTAAACAAGTTCCGGGTCTTTTTTTCCTCCGATATGTCACATACTGCTCTCTACATATTTCGTTTTCCGCATGAATTAATTTTTGGAGTGAAAATCGAATTTTGGTCTTAAACAAGACTTAAAATAGCAAGAAAATTCATTGAAAACTAATATGGTAAAAAATTGGAAAAGTATAACATCAAAAGTACCCTGTTTTGTGTGATTCGAATGGACAGAAAAAGAGAATTCACCGGAAGAATATGAGAGAATTGGGGAAAGGATGGGATGGGAAGAACATGAAATCATTGATGAAAAGACACATGGAAGAGAATAAGTACATAGAACTATCAATTGGTTGGAGTGTTAAAAGTTACCGCTGCCGTTGAACTTTTCTCCGAATTTTGAGTTTGAGTGTAGTTGTAGAGACTTGTTTGAGGCACACGGTTGACGGCGTTGGTTGAACGAATCGCAGTGGAGTTATAGGAATTGTTGTTGGTGTACTGTAAAGAGTTTTGAGTTGAGCCAAAATTTCAATAAGTTAAAGAAACTCACCTTATGTGTAGGATGATTCAAGTGATGGCAAGTGAGAAGACGCTTGAAACAAGTCCGGAATTCGCGATTGAAAACTGTGTAGATCACTGGATTCAACGCGGAATTCAGATAGCCCAACCAGAAGACAATACTCCAGGCTACATCGTCTAGCTTGATTTCCAAACCATAAACTAGCGCAAACCCGAGCCAGCAAAAAATGAAGCATCCTGTGACAATAGCCACGGTTTTAGCTGCTTTGATCTCTAGCGAAAGCCGTTTCTCGTACGCTCCTGCAGTCCGTTTCTTATGCATTCCACGACGCATTAGATGATTGAATTTTGATGCCAAACTCTTTGATTTCTTCTTTGATTCACCTAACAACGACTCATCACATGTTTCCTTTTCATATCCATTGTTGTTATTGTTGGTCATTGAGAAGTTGTCATCGGTTTGATTTGTCAACGGTTCGGTTTTGTCGGTTGAGTCAGTGGAACTGCTCCGCGAGTTTTCGATCAGTGATCCGAGCTCCTCGTTTCCGGATTTATGAGGTGTGGCCGAGTAGGAATTCGTGCTGAAAACCCAAAAGATTTCCTAATAAATCTAGGATAAAGTCTAGTTGGCTCTAGTTCAAGACGTACCCATTCAATGAATCCACTGAACTCTCACTACTCCTTCCATTCCTTTTATGCCTTGTTCCGGCACCAGCTCCTTGTTGTGCTGCTCCGACGACAGCTCCTCGATTCACCAATGTTTTCGCCGAATCATTCGCATATTTTCTCGCCTTCGCAGCTGCGGCGGCAGTAATCTGTGATGCTCCGTTTGTGGTGGCGGCGGTGGCGTCGATGGAATTTCCGTTTTGGCGGCTTGCGCTGAAAAAGGAGATGAAGATCATGTTGTGCTATAATTAATAAGCTTTGCTCTCTTCTTTTCCTCTAAATTTACCGCCGACTCATATATACCCCTAATTATAAATTGTTTATGAGACGGATAAAAAGGAGGAGGAAACTCACTTATACGGCTTGTTTGGTGTAATTTGAGCGACCACGGACGATCCTCGATGTACACGGAGCATCGGCAGCGAATCCTTGTTAATCACGTCCGGATGATTCAGAAGATAGTTCTTCGGATTCTGCTTCTTATTCGCCGCAGCTGTTACACTCATCATTCCGGAATATATTGACTTGGTGGCCGCACGAGCCGCCACATAGATCCGGAAATAAACGAAGACGACGATGATCATCGGAATGTAGAAACTGCTGGAAGCGGAGAAGACGACGTAGACTCTTCCAGCATTTGCAGGAGTACATCTACACGGAGTTTCCTTGTCTTTAATTGAGCTTGCCAAGAAGAAGCTTGGAGAGCAAATTAGGAAACTTCCGATCCAGACGATTGCCACAGTGCATCGAGCTCGGAATTTGGTGACCAGCATTGGATAGTTCAATGGTTTGATTATAGCGATATATCTAAAAATCCAAAGGTTTTTTTTTTCAATATCCAGAAAAAGAAAAACTTACCGATCGATTGAAATCGCCACCAAATTGTAAATGGATGCTGTACACATCCAAATATCCAATGTCAACCAAATCGTACACCATGTCTCTCCAAAGATCCAATACTGGTCCAACACCTCGTTAGCTATACTGAACGGCAAGATTACTGTACCGACAAGCAGATCAGCAAGTGCCAGACTTAGAATCAGAAGACCCGTTGCTGATCGAAGACGTCGTCTTAGAAGCACCGCAGCTATCACAAGTGCATTTCCAAGAACGACGACGACGACGAGAACGGTCAGAACGGAAATGATGGAGAATATTCGAAAGAATTGGGCATGTGAAGGGTTTCGAGACCATTCGTAGAACGAGCAGTTTGGGCTGTCTTCTGAAAATAAGGAAGAAATCAGAAGACGTTGGGGAAGGACACCAACCAATGATTGGGGTGAATCCTATTGTAGTCGTTGTGTTGTAGTTGCTATCTCCATAATCTCCTTCGTCCGCTTCTATAAACTGTCCGTTCAACTTTTGTCGTACCCATTCCATTTCTCTTCTTCTGATTCTTCACACTTCCAATATTTTCATTCCATATGAATTGAGGATGGTAACGATCTGTAGGAAAAAAATTCTTTAAGAATCATGGAATTTTTGATCGAGAAGAAACAGAAAAAGAAAAGATTTGTTTGAAGTGTGGAGGAGGCTGAAAGTAAAGAAAAATTGCTGAAAATGGGGTAACGAATTCACCCGGAGGGCACACTTCGAACGGGAAATTAAGATTCTCGGGGCGGCGTACACAAGAATGATGACGACGTCATTTATCTTGTTGAAAAAGGAGGAAAATAAAATGAAAAATGTACCTGAAGAGGGGAGGAGAAACGATGAAAAGAAAAGGACCTATTATTTATACCCACCATATATGGAATGTGTGGGTTTTTAATTAATTTATATAAAGCCCCGCCCATCTCCTCCCTCTCTTCCTTTGTCGCCGTTGAATACGAAGAAACGACGGCTCCAAAATGACGTGTCAATGAAAAAGTGAACGATGAAGGGAAGAAGGACCGCCCGAAAAGTTGTAGTAGATGGGTGGGGATGGACACACGAAGGAGCAAAAAAGAAGAGAAGGAAACAAATCTGAAGATGTCGCGAGAGAGCAAAAGAGCCATCAGACAGGGGCACACACAAACAGACATAGAGGAGCCACCACAGCAGCCTTCTAGTATTCGTTTTGCTCTTAACTCTAGAAAAGAAAAAATAGAGAGATAGAGAGTGAGAGAGAGAGAGGAACAGAGAAGGAAAAATATATGATATTTGGGGGTGGATCTGGACACGAAGGAACGTACCAAAATATTTATCACCTCTGGAGAGATTCCTCCGGAAATATTTACGAATTCTCCCTCGGTGAGTCAGTTTCCCGAATATGGGTTTTTTTGGGAATTGGGAATTGAAGATCTACTGAGTTCGACGAGGACTAGAAAAGTCAGATTTCTTGAAAATTGAACTACAGTAACCCTCTGATTTCTGGAAAGGTTCCCAAAAAAATTCTAGAATGCCTTGTCGCATGAAAGAAATCACCAAACAAGCACATCATTCTTGCTAAATTGAAGTTTTTTTTCCTTCTCGAATGTTCCATGAGGATCCGGAAATGCTGAAAATCACCCAAAGAGCTCACAAGACCTGAGACCACGTCATAGCTACACACAGACACAAAACGATTCGACATGGTTGCCACCATCGTGCTTTTTTTTTGTTTTGAGACACTTGCTCTCAAGTTTTTTTTTGTTATTGTTTTCCTCCAATCCCGGTCTGCCGTCCGTCCTCTTTTAGCAGCTCTATGGGAAAAAAAGTGAAAACGAACGGAAAAGGCAAAATTATTCAGTGGTGACCATTTCGGGTCTTGACACGAAGATCCAGCTCTAGAGAGACTCTAGCGAATAAAAAGATTAGGGAGAAAACAGGGAAAATGTCTTTCAAAAATTTTTGAAATTGAACTTTTCGATTCCGAAAATTACATGTTTTTGAGTGATCTGTGTAGCTGGAGATAATTGCTTCATTCAAATATCTGAAAGGACTACAGTACTCCTCACCAGACTAGACCCGAATTGATTCTAATAATGTTCAATTTCAGAGTCTTATTGAAAGAAGGAATTGAGGCAGAACAGACACGAACTAATGTATGGACGCTTTTTATAGATAAAAGTGATGTATATACGGAAAATAGGGAAAGAATATAAAGAGATAAGAAAATCTCTATATGGTTAGCTAATCTTCAGTGTTAGCATTTTTATACATTTGGAGAATGAGGAAAGGAAAGAGAGGCGCTGTTGCTCACGGAGCACCGCACCGGATCAGCGCCAGAATAAAAAGTGGGCGGAGTCCAAGACGACGAGGGAGGAGGCGTTTCGGTGGTTTTCGACTGGCTCCAAATAATTTCAATTTGTCTTCTTTGTTCTTGAAGTTATAGAACAACAAAACGACGGACATGCACTATAAGGGGGCGTTCGACGCAAATTGCTCAGTTTTTCATTCTTCTTAAATGAGTCAGTATGCAAGATGGATCAAATTAACTCGAGGAGCACAGCTCAAAAATTCCAAATATTCGAAACTGAAACTCTTCTCGGTCAAAAAAATGCCAGTCAACATTCTATTGTATCCGGAATGCCCTAACGACCAATTTACATACAAATCACGGCCTAAAAGGGCATGATGACGTGGCAGAGCACATAAAAAAAAAAGCAACGACAGCCTTCAGACCTTAAAATGGGAGGAGATAATGACAGGGGAAAGAAAGAAAAGGAGACATTTTTTTGCTCCTAAATACTGCTCAAATCTCGCGAGAGAGGTTGAAGATTAGAAAGAAACCTATAAGCGAATCTATAACTATTTAGATTGATTCAATCTATCATAGTATCATAGTTTGACGTGCCATGGTGACGTTTCGAATCGAATTTGGACTGGAATAGAATATCTAGGTGGAAATAGATTTCTTCAAGAATCTTAAGAAAGAAGCCAAAGAATCGGTGTTGAAAATTGTGAACAATCACACGTTTCCGTTTTGTTTCCGTTTCAGAGAGAAAGTTTCAAAGTGTCTCTGTTTCTCACTAACAGCTGACCTCTAGCCTCTCTCTTTGTGAAATATGAGAAGGTCCGGAGAACTTTTCAGCAGCCCAGCCCACGAAAAGGTGTCTGTTAGCTATCTCTCTTTCGGTTCATTACATTCAAATACACACACATACGTACCACCAGAATTTCGAATTAGTCTCCTTCTTCTTTTTTTTAAATAACGACGGATACATCGTTTTTATAATAGATGGCAAGGTTCTGGTTCTGATCGATGAACCTCTCTTTTTTGGGGGCTCCTCTTAAATCTTTTGGTAGGATTTGGAAATGATGGAAATGTTTAGTTTTTTGTGTCTGTTTTCCAAGAGAGGGGATTTGCTTGTTGACAGTCTTCTTCTTCTTCTTCTTGTGCCAATTGAACAAAAACTAAGATGTTCTTGAAGAAAGAAGGCATTCAGAAGGCTAAAAATATTCTGAAGGAATGGAAAAACAACGGGACGACGGAGAAGAGGAAAATTATGGATAGGTGTGGATTAGAACGGAACGACGGAGTAGTAAAAAAACAATGGAATTTCTCGGGAAAAAAGTTTTTCACTCCTACTTTTCCCACCTCTTCTCTTTTCTTAACATTTTCATTTCCTCATTCCGTATTTTTCTGGAAAGAAGAGTTTTTGAAAAATAATAACGAAATGAAAAGGAAATATAAGAAAGGGAGTCTCAATGATTAAATCAACTTGAGAAACGGCGGCAATTGGGTGTGTGTACAGTAGTAATTATCACTGGGGATTATCTGAACTGATAAAATGATGATCAAGTGGTTTGATTCATGGGGAATTGAAACTGCAAACGCTAAATCTGGAAATCTAGACTCCTCAGGGACGGATTTGTATTTGGAGCAGCACTTTCTGGCTGTCTATTGTTTACACAATACAAAAAATATTTTGAGAACTTGTATGACGTGCCTTCGAATACCTGACTCATATCTATTCTGACTCTTGCTGATCCCTGGAGCAATTCAATTGGAAACGGTTGAATTCAGAATGAATTCAGAATCTTGAATTCAATGACGTTTCATCTTCTTATTCTATTTTCATTCTTCATCACAGTTGTTGGAATCCTACTAACTTATAGATTGCTCACTTCCTTAGCTGAGAAAAGTTAAGAAGTCTATTTCTGACCTTCGCATTTCCTATTTTTAGTATCTTATCCAGATCTTAAACATCTCAAGTAGAAAAAGATGAAGAAGTACTTCCGCACACTAACCGGATTACCAGCACTAAGTTTTCGACTTTTAGTTCTTTGAGAGCAAAGTGATGTGAGCAGAAAAAATGAAAAGTTTCAAATGAGAGAGATGTGCTCTAAAGGTTCCATCAACCAATTTTTTCGATGTTTTTTGACATGGATTGATGAGGTCATGAATAAATTGATCATCTACCCAAATTTTTGTGCTGAGAAGCATCAAAAAATCTATTCTGAATAGGTTACAGCTACTCCGAGTCTGAATTTCAAACTCTGAATGTGTCTTTTTGACATAGATCAGGTTGATACGAATGAACTCTCTGGAAACCAGAGATATCTGGATTCCGTTTCTCCAAAAAGTCCGTCCGGACATATCTGCTGGAAACGTTCTTAAATTCGAGGACTTCTTTTTCGAAAAGTTTCATATATTTTCATCTCCACCACTTTCGAAAAAAAACTAGTCGAATCGATCATTATAGTCTTACGGAGGGGGTATTTATAGATGATGTCTCTGGTTACTCGATTTTTCAGCTGTCTTACTAGATTGAGAGACACACTGAATATTTTGGTTTATGATTCTCAGAGGATAGATGAAGAAAAAAATTTTTTCTGGTTCACCAAAGTTCACAGAAAAGTGGGTTCCCCTGATTCCAGTTACCCCTTCTGAAATGTTTTTGGTTGAGATCGTTGTCTTTCTGGATGGACACAGCTTATTCTCTTTTTGTTGCTCATATCATATTCCATAAGTGGGTGGGAGGGAGGTGCGAAAAGGAGAGAAAATGGGCGGTGAAGCGTAAGAAGAAAACTGGGACAGCAGGGTCCGACCGAGGTGGTGCGGACCGGAATAGAGGGATCTTGGTTCGTTGAAACTATTATTATTATTTGGATAAAATGACACAGAGATCATCGAGAAAAAGTTGGAAGAAATAATCCAGAAATGATCCTAAAAGTGTTGAAATTAAGTTCAGAATAGTCCAAAAAGAAGCCCCGAAAAATAAGCAAAGTGTCCAAAACGGCTTACAATTCACTAAAATTGGTCCAAAATAGCCTAAAATTCGTTTAAAATGACCCAAAAATTATTCTAAAAGTGATGAAATTAAGCTGGAAATGATCCAAAATCATATGTAAATTCGTGGAAAATGTTCCGAAATAGTTCAAAAATGGGGTCCAAGAATAAGCTAAACTAGCCCAAAATTACCTTCAAGCATCGCCCTAGAATTGACCTAAGAAGGGTCCAGAATCACCTAAAAATGTTTTTTAAATTGTCCTAAATGAGTTTCAAATGACCCCTGAAATGATATAAAATAGCCCAAAATTACGTCAAATGGTCCAAAGCAGTCTAAAATTCGTTAAAACTAACCCAAAATGTATCTGTAAGTGCTTCAAATGAGCTCAAAACGGCCTAACCCAAGCTAAAAGTTAGCTAAAAATGATGTAAAAAATCGAAAAAACGGTCACTCCACCTCCAAATTCTGAGCTTCACAATATGAAGTCTAGACGGCGTGGGCTTCTTTTTTTCGGTATTTTGTACACAAGGACAACTCATTTTGGTTTTACTCTGGTCTTACACATCCAAAACGGAAGGCGAATGAATGACGCAAAACAAATCCACACATACGAAAATTTAATTGTGTTTGCTTATATAATTCACTCTCGAGAGAATTCTGGCGACTGTGATACCAGTTATATACATAAACACATTTTCTATATGGGCTATTATATATCCTTTTTCATATTATAATTCTCTTGATTAGGAATATTCATTTATCGCTGTTGCTGTTGCTCCGGCCGCTGGAAATGATGTGATGGGTTTTTTTTTCAAAAGAGGGATTTTTCATTGCTAGGAAACCTTATAAGCTACGTCACTGTTAAGCTAGCTACTCCTTTTTGCGAAATTTGATTTCACTGAAAATAGCAAAGATCAGGAAATGGTTCCTAAGGAATCACCGAGAAAGTGTGAAATCTCTGTGTGAATATCTTTGGGAAATTCGAAGGAAATTCGATTTTTCGTCTTCGAAAACGAAATTCAATTGTTTTTGTCAGCTTTGAGGGAAAAAAAAACTTTCCGGAGGAGACGAACACAACTTATCGAATTTGCATCGACCGGCAGTTGGTGTCCGGGCGGATGTCCTTGTTAGAAGAATGTCCAATGGTTTGCTTTTATAACAAAAAAACTGGAAGACCCGAAAAATTCGACTGGAAAAAAACAGACGATTAACTGGGAGGGTCCTTAACTCATCATTTTTCAGCCAGCTCCCCTCTTGCTCCGTGTTTTTCTCCACCCATTTTCAGTTCGCTTCCTTTACACACAGAGGCTTGGTTTAATGAAGAAAATGAAAAAAAATAGGAAAAAGAGGTCTCTTTGTGTGTTCCCCCGGACCCCCAGAGGCCACAGCCACACGTGCTGTTTGATGGAACGGAAGATGTTTTTGCGGTGGTGGTCTAGAAGAAAACAAAAGGTTCACAGTTACTTTCTGAGAGTGTTCAGTCCACTGACTTGTTAACAAGAGCAGGAAGGAGACGGGAGGATCTTTGGGTTTTGATGATTTGTGGGTTATTGTTACAACCTGATTTTTGTGTTTGCGGCGAGCGAGAAAAAAGTCAGATTTTTTGACAACTGACCGAACATCGCTTGGGAAACACTCGGATACAGAAGTTTCGATGCTCGAAATTGATAGGGGAACTTGGTGTAAACTACCGTATTTCCTCTAAAAGAAGCAACCCCGAACCGTCAATTATGAGCTTAATTATCTCGATTCCTGTAAAAGATATCAACAATTTGTTAGCAGATAAAACATTTCTGGTATTATGATCAATATTTTATCAGTTGACAAATTCGTTATATCTTTTACAGGCATCGAGATAATTGAGCTTAAAATTGACGGGTTGGATGGGCACTTTTTAGAGGAAATAAGGTAGTTGAATCGACTTAGAAAAACACCTTTAAAATCAGAAATCAACGAGACCTACTAAATCCGAATCATCAGTTTAGACTAACTAAACCGTTTGATAAATAAATCTCTACTCTAGCAGTTCTAAGCAGATCCAGCTAATAAGGATCTTTGATTTCTACTCCAAACGAGGAAGTACTTGAAACCAATCAAAAAATGTTTCTACTTTCCTACCTACTTGGCAGCAGCAGCTGATTAAATCAGCCTGATTTCCTTTTTGATTTCTAATCTCCAATCTATTTTGGTTTATTACCTATTGCCAGACCACCTCACATTTCCAGACTCTAAATCAATTGAATACAGAGGGGATTTGTTTTGTCTAGCTGGTCTGATTTTAATCTCTTTTAATCTCATCCCCCACTCAATTCAAGATTGCACTTATTAAGTGAATAAATGAAGAACAATAGAGTTGAAGTAGTTTTTGAGGACAATAAACTCTTCTTCTAATGAAAGGAAAATAGTTCCGGATTGATATTCTTCTGGTTCTGGAGAGAGCCCCTCTCTGAGAGGGACGGACTCAGAAAGTTGTTGAGTCAAAATAAGAAATGTTTGGAAATACAACTACTACTAGAAATGACAGGGATAAACTAGATTCGGAATCTATTTGCTCTTTTTCTATTTATCCCCCCATCAAAATATCCCCCGACGGTCTGCTGGTGGTAGTAGAGTCGGAAGTATATTGAAAAGTTCGAGGTGGTTGAAGGGCCGCGTCATGTTTTTTTCAATGGCAAAGAGAGATGTATTTTGGAAATAGGTATGTTGCCGCTGAAAACATGTGGATTCTATCTCTAGGAATCATCACAAGGGGGCTCACCTCCTTCTAAGCTGATTGGATTGGATTGAATTGAAGCAGGCTTTTAGAAGAATTAGCTGGATTGGTATGAGAGGGTCGATTAGACTGAAATTTTCAGTATGAAAAACATGATGTTTGTTTGTAAAACTACGATTCCTAATACTGATTCAGGATGAGAAAGGGGACTTGGGTTCTCAGAAACTTTTTTGACGCAATTTGTTATTTTGACATCCTTTTGTCATGGTTTTCCCCAGAAAAAGGAGCCAGGGACTCAACAGGGTGCTCAAAAATATACACATAAAAATTAGACTATAACGTATTGTAGAAAAGCTGACCTACAGTAGACCTACAGTAGGGAAACTGCGATGTATTTCCACTTTTTCCAGCAAAGATAGGGGTCATAGGGAATTTTTCAGTTGATAATATGGGTTCAAAAAGTTGTGAGAAGAAATGGAATTCTTTGTTGTTTGGGAAAAACGGAGAGAAGGTATTCTTGTCTTGAATTAGGCTCCTGTAGGAGGACCCCCCACGGGGTTGCAACAGGGTACATGCAAATTTGAATCCTCAGTGTTCTTGGGCGCGTTGCGCCGCGCGACGCGGCTGAATTTTGGCTTGGAATTTAAAACTTTCAACTTTGAGCCAATTTATCTCGGTTCCTGTCCAAGTTATAAAAAAGTTGTCAACTGATAAATTGTTTATCATAATATCACCAAAATTTTATCAGTTGACACATTTTTTATGTTTCGCATTGGAGTCGAGATAACTGAGCTCAAACTTGACAGGTTTTACGGTAGACTAGGATTCTCAAAAATCGTTCTTTCGAGCATTGCTCACGACGAGTTCGTTCTGTGCCTTGAAAACGGCAGAATTTGCATATGAAATTGTTATTTCTTGATCCAGCCTATTCCAGCTGTTCCATTCTCTCATCTTTTCTTCATCCCATGAAGCCTCCCTCCTCCTCTCCTCCGCTAAAAATAAGTTATTCGACCGGAAAACCGAATAAAAAAACAAGAATCGGAATATTTTATTTTTAGAGAGATCTCAGTAGTACCGCCAATTTGATTTGCATTCATTCGCGAACCACGAAGAAGACGTCGTGTTTTTTGAGTGCTCAATGTTCAGGTTCGATTGGTCGCCTACTAGTGGTAGTCGCAGGTGACCGTGAATTATTTAAAAAAGGGAATCAGAGTAATGAGAATACTTTGGAGAAGAGAGTTCTCCGGGGATCTATATTTTTCAAGGAAAAGAAAATTCTTCTGACTAATCACATGTGCTCTTTTCATCTGAAGGCTTCAGAGAAGCCTTCAGAAGGCGTTAAATTGAATGAAAATCGAACAAAGAAGGCATTATTCGTCGCCGCTTAAAGTAGAAGTTGTTTTTGAATGAAGAGGATAAGATTTGAAGTAGAAGAAGAGGGTCCTCTTCGTCTTTCTTCAAAAAAGAAGAAGAAGAAAAACATATAACTACCTTTATTGTTAAAGACGTCTTCTTCTTCTTCTTCTTCTCATTTTCACGTTTTCAACCTCTTCGTCTTCTCCTTCTTTGTCTTTTTAAGGTTTTTCAGAATCTTTGAATCCTAAGAAAACTGAAAAATTAACTAAACTTTCTTCTAGGTGAGACTAGGAGCATAAAAAGCGAGGGAACTAAAAGTTTAATTGTTCAGAAGAAAAAGAGCACAATTCGACGAAAAAAAGAATAGAAAGGAGAAATGTTTGAAATTGCAGGAGACAGGACATACGAAGAAGAAGACGTCGACGTCTTCCGGCCCATTTTTCGTTGTCTTCTAGGAAAATTTTGGATGTTTCTTTGGCATAGGCATTCTAGACAATACAACATGAAGAGGAGGGAATCTAAAATTTTCTAATAGTTTCTAGAGCCCCAAATTGTTTTCTTCTTCTCTGGAACGGACATTTTTGTGCTCCAGGAAGCACCCCCTAGATAATACAAAATACAAAAAGACGCTGAAATTTGAGATGCTCCAGTTTTTTATGTTTACCGGGTAAGGTCGGTCCCTTCCCGCCCGCCCATTTGAAATGGACCTCCCCAGGGGGAAACACGGGAAAGTAGGTAAAATGATGAATGGGAAGAACGAACCGGAACTAAAGGAAGCGTAATCGGGAGGAGAGGGTGGCACTCTATCGGGATAGAGGGAAAATTGGATTTATAGCAATTTTTCGGGAGAAAAATGACTTGGGAGATGGGAGATAACATTTCAAAATAATTATAATTTTGCAGAACTTCCCAGTGAATATTGTCAATATTCAGTCAACTGGACAGCGTATAATCGTCTCGGATAGCCAGGAATCTGTTCACTTTTTGAGATACCGCAAAGGAGTGAGTTTTAAAACATCGTAAAACCTGCAATAGAAGGGCTCCCCTAACTTTGATCTTTGAGCCATTTATCTCGATTCCTGCCAGAGATATGAAGAAGTTGTCAACTGATTAAATTTTTTTGATACTATGACGAACAATTTATCAATTGACAAATTTTTTGTATCTTTGTCAGGAATCGAGATAATTGAGCTCAAACATAAGTGCCCTCCTAATACAGGTTTTCTTCATTTAGCTCCGTGTCACTTCGAAGCTAGTCATTCCGAAACTGTGGTAATACAGGGGAATGGATAAATTCAGACTACAGCAACAATTTTAGGGTTTTTAAATATGCTTTTTCTGATGGAACACATTCCGGAAATCGAAAAATTCGAGAATTTTTCTTCTTTCAAGAATATCAAATTTTGAACTTTTCCGATTTTCAGGATGTGTTTTACAAGAAAGAGCTTATTTGAGAACCCAAAAATTGTTAATGTAGTCTGAAATTTATCCATTCGCCTGCATTACAACGGTTTCGAAGTGACGCGGAGTCCTTCATTTGGCGTTCCTATGATTTACAAATCGTCAGGATAATCAACTGGTTGTCTTCGCCGATGACACGACTCCTCGCTACGTCTCCTGCGTCTGTGTGCTCGACTATCATACTGTAGCCATCGCTGATAAATTTGGAAATCTATCAGTCGTTCGCCTGCCGGAGCGAGTCAACGAAGACGTTCAAGACGATCCAACGGTATCGAAGAGTGTGTGGGATCGTGGATGGCTGAATGGAGCTTCTCAAAAGGTTGAACTCGTTGCTAATTTCTTCATTGGAGACACAATCACGAGTCTCCAAAAGACGTCGTTGATGCCAGGAGCCAATGAAGCATTGGTTTACACGACAATCGGTGGAGCTATCGGATGTCTTGTTTCGTTTATGTCCAAAGATGTAAGTTGGCGTTTTCTTTTTAGTAAATTTTTAATCTGGAATTTTTCAGGAAGTGGACTTCTTTACCAATCTGGAAATGCATGTTCGTAGTGAATATCCACCGCTTTGTGGTCGTGATCATCTCTCCTACAGGTCTTATTATGCACCATGCAAGGTTAGTTGGTTGTTCAATCGGTGAATTTATAATTAGAAAATGCAAATTTTTGGTAATAGACACAATAATCAAAAACTAGTGATCATAAGTTCCCCTTCTTCAAGATATTTTCCTTCAGAGCGTCATCGACGGAGACATCTGTGAACAGTTCAGTTTGATGGAGTTATCGAAGCAAAAAGAAGTGGCCGAGGAATTGGGAAAAACTGTCAGCGAGGTATGATCCCGGCAGATTAGATCCGAAGATTCTAGAACGAATTGAAACAAGAATTCGTCATATCTTGATTCATCAGCGTTTTCCAATTATTGATCTAGTCTCGACAATTGAACAATTTCAAGAAAAAAAAATAAATTTCAGATCTCAAAGAAACTGGAAGACATCCGCACTCGATACGCCTTCTAATTCTTCTAGTAATTGAAATTAATTTATTTGGTTTTTTATCTTTTGTTGAGTTTTCTATTTTTTGCTGATTCTCTCATTCTTCTCCTTCTGATCTTCTCCATGCACCAACCACAACCTTTTTTTTATGGAAATGTACTACTCCTTTTTTACAAGATTTTGTTTCCTCCTCTCCCATATATGCCCGATTTCTTTTAACTATTCCTTTTTATTCTCGTGTCGACTGATAACAAGATCATGATGATATAATGAGTGAGATAAGACAAGAATCACAGAATAATGAGACTTTGGGGAATGGCGTGATGTCGTGTAGCAGGTCATTTGGCTCCTAGAATTGAAAAACGATTTCAGATGGAACTTTGGAGTCAGGTGCCATACAAAGTGGCCCCATTGGAGAGATCTCAAGATTCAAAATTGTTGAGATCTTGATTCAGAATTTTTTAATTAGAAAAAAGTCTGTCAACGACATTTTGAAATATTAACCGACTTTCATCGCGATCAGTTCAAAAAACCATGATCCTATCTCTCTAAAACTACTACCTGCAAAACTGATAAGCGAAATTTTAATTGTCTACGAAAAACGTCGGTGGGCATTTCGAAAAAAAGAATCTGCGATAAGGAGACGAAATGACCTTGTCAGATAAAAATGAAGACGCAGAGATCGCCGATGGATTCTTCGAGAACTTTTTTAGGTTCTCGAAAATGCACTATCGTCGAAATTGGGAGGTTGGCTATTGAAGAATAAAGGAAATAAAAAATAGATAATTTTTAGGAACAATATACTGCGAAAGAACTCAAAAAAGGAAAATTTTGTTAATTGACCACTTATTAATCTCTCAAAAGAACCGAGATAAATTGGGTCAAAATTAAAAATTTGGGGCTTCTTCTATTACAATTTTAACGGTATTTATCTGATCTTGAAATTTCTTGATCCTAAACATTTGATTTTCGAAATTGCCTCCTTTTTGTTTCTCTGTTGTCTCTCGTTCCCTTATCAATTATTTCCAATCAAACAGAGACCCAGACAAAAGTACACCGAAGCAGAGGGCGAGAGACGCAGAACATCCACGCCGAAAAAATGGGCGGAGCCTAATGTGGCACCAGCGGCCGGGCGCCTATAAAAGGGGAGCGCTGAAGCCAGAAAACTCGCCGTAGAAATACGGGCTGAATAAAAAAAGAAGAAAAACTTCTTTAACTGGCTGAAAACAGTTACGATGAAGTGAATGTATGGGGAAACTATGCTCGTCTGAAAATTGGTTTAGGTTATCGGTGTGCGCAATCTATCATCTAGAGCGGTCAAGACATCTACAAAACGTCGTGGTGGGATGCACGAAGGTCACATTAGGAAAATTATCTGGCAATTTAGAGGTTATCAAGATGGTATCTGAGTTTTTTGGGCCTTCAAAACAAGCCCCCTGCCGTAAATCAAGTCATCCGACATTCCTATCTACTCTCGGAATTGAAGACACAGTCTTTCTTCAGTCTTTCTTTATTCTTTATTCCATTTTTTAGCAAAAAACTTCGGAATTTTCTTTTTTCCGTTTCGCGTCGCTTTTTTTCAAACTTTAGGCCAGAAAAACTAAATTCGTTGCGAGACCTTTTCCTGAAACTCAATGCGCCTTTGAAAATAACCAGTGGAAATTTTGAATTTTATTATTTTTTGGGAACAAAACCTGCAAAATGTAGAAAAAAAGGTTTTAAAATTTTAATAATTCCTAATTTCAATTTTCAGGTTATTTTAAGTAAAAATGAGAAATTTAGGATTTTTTGAACTTTTCGCACTTCTCGTTTTCTTCCGTTGTGATTCCTCAATTTCGTTTTTATCGTTTCAGACCGATTTCCTGTTTTTATAGAGTTTATTCCAGGTAATACACATTCACAATGGCCCAGTCCAAGCCAGCTTACAAGGTTGCCGATATCTCGCTCGCCGAGTTCGGACGCAAGGAAATCACCCTTGCTGAGAACGAGATGCCAGGACTCATGGCGATGCGCGCCAAGTACGGACCATCCCAGCCATTGAAGGGAGCTAGAATCGCCGGATGCCTCCACATGACCATCCAGACCGCCGTTCTCATCGAGACCCTCACCGCTCTCGGAGCTGAGGTATGTTTTTGTTTTCTTTCTCTAATCATTCAGTTTAAATATAAAACATGTATTAATTTGAATGAATTATTATATTCAATGATTTACAGGTCCAATGGTCTTCCTGCAACATCTTCTCCACCCAAGATCACGCTGCCGCCGCTATTGCCCAGACCGGAGTCCCAGTCTACGCCTGGAAGGGAGAGACCGACGAGGAGTACGAATGGTGCATTGAGCAAACCATCGTCTTCAAGGATGGACAACCACTCAACATGATCCTCGACGACGGAGGTGATCTTACCAACTTGGTTCACGCTAAGTACTCCCAATACCTTCCTGGAATCCGCGGACTTTCCGAGGAGACCACCACTGGAGTCCACAACTTGGCTAAGATGCTTGCTAAGGGAGACCTCAAGATCCCAGCAATCAATGTCAACGACTCTGTCACCAAGTCCAAGTTCGATAACTTGTACGGAATCCGTGAGTCTCTCCCAGACGGAATCAAGCGCGCCACTGACGTTATGCTCGCCGGAAAGGTCGCCGTTGTCGCTGGATACGGAGACGTCGGAAAGGGATCTGCCGCTTCTCTCAAGGCCTTCGGTTCCCGTGTCATCGTTACCGAAATCGACCCAATCAACGCTCTTCAAGCCGCCATGGAGGGATACGAAGTCACCACCCTTGAGGAGGCTGCTCCAAAAGCCAACATCATCGTCACCACCACCGGATGCAAGGACATCGTCACCGGAAAGCACTTCGAGCTTCTTCCAAATGACTCCATCGTTTGCAACGTCGGACATTTCGATTGCGAGATCGACGTCAAGTGGCTCAACGCAAACGCTACCAAGAAGGACACCATCAAGCCACAGGTGAGTAGTGTTAATACTAACCCCTAAAGAATACTCGAGTACCTATCATTCATCATCTATACTGTTTAATTCCAGGTCGACCGCTACACCCTCAAGAACGGACGTCACGTCATCCTCCTCGCCGAAGGACGTCTTGTCAACCTTGGATGCGCCACTGGACATCCATCTTTCGTCATGTCCAACTCCTTCACCAACCAAGTTCTCGCTCAAGTTGAGCTCTGGACCAAGTTCGGAACTCCACAAGAGTACAAGCTCGGACTCTACGTTCTTCCAAAGACCCTCGACGAGGAAGTCGCTGCTCTTCACTTGGAGAAGTTGGGAGTCAAGCTTACCAAGCTCTCCGACGACCAAGCCGCCTACCTCGGAGTTCCAATCGCCGGACCATACAAGCCAGACCACTACAGATATTAAATCATCTAATTTATATCATCTCTACGGATCTTTGTGTTACTTTTCAAAGTTTTACCCTCCCCATTTTCATATGATCTTGAACTGGTTGTATTGCTACTCGCCCTTACTTCCCCAAATCATAATAGCAGTTATAGCATTTATTTAGTTTTATTTTACTTGTTAAATTCTTTTTGGTTCTTTGTCTGGTTATTTTGGGCTATAAACATTCTCTGGAATTATACTCTTGTCTGCAAAAATTACTGTATTTCTAATAGCGTACATACTCTCAAATCGCGCGAAATTTATCGAGTATTAGATCTATTTTCTGCCGGGAAAACTTGTGCGTGCATTGAATAGACGCTCCAATGATAAGTGTTCTCTTTCTTTTCTTCCCCCGCAGGCTTCTTTCTCTTCACCTTCATAGTTTTGCAACTACAAATTACGCCGACTTTTGGTTTTTATCAGTTCCTTCGTGACAAATTTGTCCACTATTGAATTCCACTGTTACAACTTGCAATTTATCGATTTTCAGTTACAATTTAAAAAAGTAGGTTCGTTCGGTTTAGAGGAAAGATGCCGGAGAATAACGAGGCAAAAATCAGGAATTGCACTTTTCGCGAACTGCAAGAACATGCCAAGAAATGGAAGGCAGAGGTTTGATAAAGAGAAAAAAGTTCTCTGGAAATTGAATTTTTTGCCAGATTCGCCATATGACAACTCAAGGATTCTCAAAGTTGGGGATGCTGCGTCCAGAGAATGGTCGTCTCAATTTGTATGTTTGAAGAAGACAACAATTTCTTTTTTTGGCTTCGATTCAGTCAATTTTAAGCAAAAATTTCAGATATGCGATTTCGTCAGTTCCAGGATCCAGCAATCAAACGATTTTTATGGCGGACGTTCCCATAGAACTTCTCGAGAAATACGTTCCTTCCGATGCAAAAATTAACATCAAATTGAGAGCCGGACACAATGTAGACCCCCTGATCAAGTAGGAAATCTAGAATTTCTTCCTTAAAACGATCTTAATTCAGAAAAGGAGCTCCATCTGCGGAGTTCGCAATGCTTTGCGAGCGACAGCGAGCTCAAGTAGCTCAAGGAATCACAGATTACGAAATTTGCAATAAAGATTTGACTCTGGTGGCTGGCGACCAAATATTCCGGTAGGTATTAAAATATAAATAGCTTTGAGGAATGTGTGTGTGACTGAAACTGTTTTTCATATATGTGAAGATGTCATCCGGTTCCTGATGAAAAAGAAAAATTAAAAGATCCAAGGTGAAACTATCCCCGACACACTTCCCCATCCTTCCTTAAAAATACCCTTTTTAATTCTCAGATTCCGTCCTGGAAACGATGCGATAACACAAATCACCGTCGGATTGCCAGATAATCAGAAGAATGAGCCAGGCACCAGAGCCCAAGTCGAGCCAATGGATCTGTCTGAAGGATCCATGGGACCAGGAACCAAAGGATGCTCCGTAGAAGCTGAACACTCATCTACTTCTTCAACTTCCACATCATCTAACACCAAAACTGACAATAAACCACCGCCAGCCCAGAATTTCGTGTCAAGCGCCAAACAGTGCCCATCGGATCCGGATCTTTGTGCCTATGTTCTGAACAAGCAAGTGTTCATCGAGAGAAAAGGGAAGGTCGTGTACCACACGACTTCAAATTCAAAACATATCACAAATGGAGTTCCTTCTTATATAATTCAAGAAGAACTGGAAAGATTCGAGGGGATTTGGTGGAGTGACACTCAAACAAGACTGTTGTACGAGCATGTCAATGAGGAAGCCGTCGAAGATGCTCAATTCGGAATCAATGGAGATTTGCCATCGATGCCAATGAAGTATCCAAAAGCCGGCACGAGAAATTCCACGAGTCAGTTGCGAATGATTGTGCTGGAAAATGGCAGAGTCTATGATGTCGGTCTGTGCAACGACCTTATCGGCGATCTTTGCGACGGCTTTGAATATATCACTCGAGCTGGTTTTTTCAGTGATGGAACTACGTTAGTGTTGATATTTAGCTTATCTAAGAAAATTTAATATTGCAGGGTGTGGGTACAAGTGATGAATCGGACCCAAAACACTGTCTGGTTGCTGCTGATTCCATTCTCCGATTTCACTCTACCAGAAGATCTTGCGACGATAAACCCTCCATGCAGTAAGTTTCTAGAGAATGAACAAATAAAAACTCCCGTTTCATGAGATGTAGGCTTCCAATTGTGCGACAATTTGAATATGGGATACTTCGATCCGAATCATGTTGAAGATAGACCACGATTCAAGGTTCAAAGGGCCTCTGTGATCCATAAATATCATAATGAGCATTGGATAAATGTGAGTTAGATTCGAAGCCTTGCAATCAGAGAATGAACGAATTTCAGACCCACAATGCTATTCAACCACTGAAAGTTGAGGATCCTGAGAATCCAGTCTACGAATTCATATACTGTCTAGAGAAGTCCCAAGGAAGTTGTCTGACTCTTCTCACTGCCTACTTCGATACGAAGTTTGTTTGAAACCCAATAAATAACCCCAACCCATGATTTCAGCGGATACAACTACCACACTGCTGAAACGAGTTTAATGGCTGAGAACTACTCGATCAACAAATCGATGGGAATCGTTTTGGATGAGAAGAGACAACTTGTCTACTACGTGGCAAATGAATCTCATCCAACCGAATGGAATGTGTAAGTGTCGAGAATGGTTCATATCTATTCCATCCCTTCCAGATGTGTCTCCAATTACCGTTCCGGAAGTCACGCACAGCTCACCGAGAGTGGGATATGTTTCAAAGCGGAAAGAGCGAATGGCAAGATGGCTTTCGATTTGGACTACGGTTTCGCTTGCTGGATGACGGCTATCGGTGCGGCACCGCAATGCAGATTCTACGCATTCAGATGGAAGCCTGAAAAGGATATTCCTGAAACTATCTATGCGGCGTTTGTAAGTTTAATGTTTGGTGCAACACACCACACGAAATTTTGCGTACTTTTGACGACAGTAACCCAGTAAAAAATTTTTGCTTGTCAATCTCACAAAAACGAATTTTTGGACGCCTACAAGAAATCCTGACATGTATGATTCCTTGTTTTTTCCAGATCTACATTCCCGGATCTCCAATCGTACCGGAAGCTCCACATGACGTCCCAGAGATGGTCGAGTATCCGTCGAAGTAGGACACCAAACCTGAATTCTTAAACTCCTCATTATTTCAGGAGAACCGGCCTAATGCATTTCGGAATGATCATTCGTCCAGCCAATTTCGATGGTAGCAAAAAGTATCCAGTGTTTCACTATGTCTATGGAGGGCCTGGAATTCAGATAGTTCACAACGACTACTCGTAAGTTTGATTTATTTGGACTTCCGAAATGCAATACTCCCCATTACAGATGGGTCCAATTCATACGTTTTGCTCGCCTCGGATACGTTGTCGTTGTCCTTGATAATCGAGGATCCGCTCATCGTGGAATCGATTTTGAAGGCTTTATCGCTGGAAAAATGGGCACAGCAGAAGTCGAGGATCAGGTCGAAGGCCTTCAGATTATCGCTGAACGAACCGGCGGATTCATGGATCTGAAGCGTGTCGTTGTGCACGGATGGAGCTATGGTGGATATATGGCGCTTCAGATGATTGCAAAGCATCCCCAACAATACATTGCTGCCATCGCCGGAGGAGCAGTGACTGACTGGCGACTCTACGACACTGCGTACACAGAGAGATATTTGGGATTCCCAGTTGTGGCAGATATCTATCAGAAGAGTTCCATAATTCCATTGGTCGATAAACTTCCAGATGAGTGAGTTGGAATTTTTTATTCATATAAGTATCACTATATTGCTTTCTAGGCCAAACCGTCTGATGCTCGTCCACGGACTGATGGATGAGAATGTTCACTTCTCTCATGCAACAACGCTCATTGATGAATGTATCAAGAAGGGAAAATGGCACGAGTTGCTGGTAAGTTTCAGATACCGTAAAACCAGCATTAGAAGGGCCCCTCTGATAGAAGGGCTAATAAGTTTCACATAGTCACAGTTCCATATTTCTATTTCATCTAATTATTTCCAGGTCTTCCCACGTGAACGTCACGGAATAAGAAACACTGACGCGAGTGTCTACCTGGATGCTCGAATGATGTTCTTTGCTCAACAAGCTGTTCAGAATCTCGTCTTGGCAGATGATGGAACTACGACTATAAGGAGCGATTCTCACTAAAGCTCGACCCAATTGCTCAATTGCTTCCCTCCTTTTTTAAACTCATCCTGTAAAATGAATCGTGTTTTCTGATTCTCGGTGTATACCCAGTAACAATAATTAATCTTTCTCATTCACCCCGAAATCCTCCTCCTTACCCGAGTAATTTTTGTTTATTTTCGAGTTTGTAACATTTCTTTAACTTTATGATTTTTGAAATTGCTAATTTTTCTTGTGCGCGGTGCGTTTCTCTTTTCTATTTTTCCTTGTCTCACTATGATTCGTTGAAAAATGAAGGGGTTTTCCACACGACTTGCAATATTCGAATTAAGGTGCCCGCCCGGTTTTTAGGATGCGGACGGCGGGGGAAAGATGACCTAGATTTTCGTACAGTGTTATTATTAATGAATGCATATGTGAATAAATGCATCTTATCAGGCAACCGGATCACATGATTCGGATAAGAGGACAAGGACAACGGTAGGAGAGGGAGACCGCCCATCTTTTGAGGATCTATAAAAGGGCCGAGGAGATGGGGAGAAGGTAAGATTCCTTCTTCGAAACACTATGGACGGAAAGGATCAACATTTGTGAGTTTATTTTGATTGATTTGTGTATAAATTTGAGTTGAATGTTTGCTGAAAATAGCTAAAATCCTGACTAAAACTCCAAATTTCCAGCCATGCTCGCCGCGCAGCGGTCGCTGCTGTCGTCATCTCGACGTGCGCTGTCATCAGCTCCGTCTTGCTCTTCCAATGATGTACAACATGATCATGAACATCCAAAGTGAGATCTCTCACGAGACCCAATTCTGTATGCTCCGTTCCCGTGACATGATGATGAACATGTACGCCACCTCCGGAAAGAGCAACTACCGTGCCAAGCGTGCCTGGCAATTCGGATCCTGGGTTCAAGACTCGGGAGTCGGAGGAGGAGCCGGAGGATATGGAAGTGGACCAGCTGACTCTGGATACGGAGCCCAGGGAACCAACAATGGATACGGACCAGTTGTCAATGCAGAGCCAGAGCCACAATGCTGCACTTGCCAACAAGGAAAGGCTGGACCACCAGGACCACCAGGAGATGATGGACATGACGGAAAGGACGGATCTGCTGGAGCTGATGCTAAGAACGGAAAGGACGGAGGAGTCGGACCATCCGATGGACTTCAATCTGAGCCATGCGTCATCTGCCCACCAGGAGCTCAAGGACTCGGAGGAGCTCCAGGAGCCAAGGGACCACAAGGACCACGTGGATCACCAGGACTTTCCGGAGTCGACGGAAGACGAGGAGAGCCAGGAATGTCGGGACCAGCTGGAACCCAAGGAGAGCCAGGACCACAAGGACCACCAGGAAAGAAGGGCGACGATGGACGTGTCTCAATGTAAACGGACCACCAGGACCACCAGGAGCCCCAGGACCACAAGGACGCAAGGGAGAGCGTGGACCAAAGGGAGTGCCAGGATCCGTTCATCCAGGAGTTCAAGGACCAACTGGAGACCAAGGAAGAAAGGGAAGAGCCGGAAGAAAGGGAGAGACTGGAGGACAAGGACCAATTGGATCCAAGGGACCAAATGGAGACTGCTTCCACTGCCCAACCCCAAGAACTCCACCAGGTTATTAATTTGGTTGTTTTATCATGTTTCTCGAATAAATTATAATTTATTAAAACAGTTTTCTGGTTTCGGTTCTTGAATCTCAGACACTCTCAAACATGAAAACTATGTATGTCTTGCAAAAGCAGGTTCGAGTAAAATATTGTTATAGAAGAGTCCCCTAACTTTTAACTTTGAACCCACATATCTCGCTTACTGTCGAAGACATGCAAAAGTAGTCAACTGATAAATTGTTTATTATAATGTCACATACATTTTGTTAGTTGACTACTTTTCGATATCTTTCACAGGAACCGAGATGAATTGGCTCAAAGTTAAAAGTTAGGGGCCTTCTTTTACAGGGTTTACGGTAATTGTTTCAGTCCGAGTTTCAAAAAAAATAATAAGATTTTTGGGAATCATTGTAGACTTGTACCAGTTGGTTTGAGCCCCCTGCCGGGGGCTCAACCTCCTGGGTTTGCTTACTTTATCTTACATTTGAATTTCTAATTTCAGAAATTCCCACTTTCCGTGTGTCCGAAATTTCCGAGTATCTTTATTTTCAAATGTTCTTTTTTCCTGATATCGGAATTTTTGAATACCGTACTTTCTCTAATAGATGCCCACATGTAGAATTTTCTTGTATTTTCTAGAATGTTCCTGGATTTTCTGATTACTGATTGTTAGGGTTTCTGAAATTCAGATGTTTAAAAAAACCCACACGCAGCCCTACTTCTAACAAGCCTTTGGTTTTAGCCTTTGGTTTTTTTTTGCCTTTGGTTTTTTTTTGGTAAGCCTTTGGTTTTAGATAACCTTGTAAAAATAGGGAAGTGATTACAATACCTGTATACTTATAGAAAACTTATATTTCCCTTTTTTTTCAGGCAAAAACTTTGGGGGTACAACAATTCGGCGGACTTTTCTTCTTTTTCACTAAATTCAAAGTTTCATCAAAGAAGTTTTGATGCCATTCAAGTCCAGTGATTACTTCGAATTTCGTGATATTTGGCATGTACTTGTTGCAGAATTCAGTATGGTTGTAGATGGGTCCGTTCTGAAAGAAGTCTTTATTTATGAAATAATAAAAATTGGTTTATCAAGCTTCTGAATTACAGGGTGGCGCTCAATTACCCGGACCTCTAAAAATGGGTATATCTTTAGACATGAGTATCTTGGAAGCACGAAATTAGGAAGCAAAGCTACTGAAGTTTCCAAAGTGATTCCTCAAGTATAATTATTGTTATGCTTGTTCAAAGATGGATGGTGTAATGTGTACATCGTTGTCATTAGATGAAACAACTTTGACAGGCGATAATTTAGCTCAAAGTTGATCAAATAACAGAAAATTTGGCCAGTATACTGATAAATTATATAAACTTT